AATGACATTTCTTTAGTGATCAATTATTCGATGGCCAGAAAAAAATTCTCTTAACTTTTCGCTCCTTGTCTGCAATTGCTGTAGCGTTTTATCGAACGGACAAGAAAGGGCCCTACGTATAGGCCGAGAAAGGCCTCGGGGCCTGGTCAATTTAGTATATTTTACTATTTAAATCATCAAATTGATAATTTTCGAAAATATAATCGTGTTTTACTCTCGGTTTCTACGTTAAAAAATGTTAATAAATCCACCTTCTATCTTCGTCGTCCTTTTAATGGGCCTCGGAAATAAATTTTGCCTAGGGTCGGGAAAATCTGGGGCCTCCGTTGCCAGCAGAGATTAGAAAATAAATAGATTTAACACCCTACATTTCACTCGTGTACAGTGCCAAGTTGTGATTAATGTGACCTTCAGAAGTTTATGGCTAGTTCGTCGCCGCTGTCTGTTCTAGCGAGATACGATTGTTTCCTCTCGAAGGATCCTCTCAATCCCCAATCTTAACCACATAAAAAGATAAGCCACGCCATTGTCGCTATGATTTTTAATGGTTTCTATTCATCTATTGAATAGGATGAGAATTTAATTTCTTTTGAAAGCAAAAATGGATTGATTTATTTAGATTCTTTACAATACAAAGACTAAAAAAGGGATGGATTCGCTTTTTTGAACATTCTAAATCTAAGTTTTTACTTAGTTAAATCTTAAATTAAATTGGTCCTACACAAAATTTCGTGTAAAAGTCAAAGGGCAAACCGAGTTAAATTCGACCGGACAAGTTTACAATTAAATAATTTAATTTTAGATATTAAAAATCAGAAACGTAAATAAGAAAATCTTTGAAAAGTTTGTTTTATTTTTAAGTTTTAATCGAAGAATATAATTACTTAAAGTATAAAAATCGACTTTTCTCAAAGTGTACAATAATTAAAATCTTAAAGATTAATACAGAAATTGCATTTACTGTCGGTTCTTTAAGTATATTTAATTTTGTTTTCTTTGTGTACGTAGTTACGTGTTATTAAACAATGTTCAAATGTCTACCTCGGCTATCCGAATTTTTTCCAGGTTTTCCGGGAATTTTTCTCCTGGGATATTTTGAGATTTTCGAGGAAGTTTTTAGATTTCATGGAAAATTTTCAAGAATCTTTTTGAGTTTTCGTGGGATTCCCGGTATTTTTTGAGGCTTCCAAGAAAGTTTTTGAGATTTTAGAAGAATTTTTTGAGGTTATCTGGGAAATTTCTGGGGTTTATTCGGGCCTGCCCCTTAAGAACGACCCGAGAAAATGTTCTCTCGGTGCCCCGGGAGAAAAGAGTCAAAAACGAAGAGTATATATAAAAATATTTAGATTTTCAATAATTTTTCTTTTTTTAAAATACAGAAAAATGAAAAAAGTGTTTGTTTTATTTTAATTTTAATTCGTAAGATAAACAAATCTTTAATAAAAAGATTTAATTATATATTAAATGTTTATTAATTAATCATAAATATAATTCCATAGAAATCATTTAATAATAATAAATAAAGTTTATTTTCGTTTTTCTTGCTTTTCAAATTCTAGAGATTTAATTACCAATTACAATACGAACACGGTTCAGCCATTAAACTAATATAAGAATATTTTTTTAACTATTAAAATGCTTTATATTTATTTTAAATTATTACCAAGCAAGTTTAATTTATTAAATATAATTTTAATTTTTTTTATTATTAAATTTTAATTATTAAAATTGATTATTTCATATTTTAGGCGTTTTAAGGGATATTTTAATTTTAAATGATTTTGGTGAAATTAATAGAAACGGACTTACATAAATTATAAATTATTAGCGTTAAAAATGAAAAACATTTTAAAATTTCCTTTTCTTTCAAACAGTGAATAATTTATTTTTAAAAATAAAAATATTACATTCTTCAGAAGATAAGCGAAAATTGAAAACTATTTTATATAACTTGTCCTCAAATCTCCAGAGCCAAATTTTGTCCGCTTCTAATTAAAGAGAAGACATGCTTAATGCATTTAATGATGTTTTAAGGGATGACCACTCTTACTATCTTCCCATCTCACCATCGTCCTCTTCATTCTCATCGTCATTCCCACCAACCATCCTCTAAACCGATTAAATAAAACCGAATGTAGGATTGTGATGTAACCCTAACCCTCCCCACTCCAATCTCAAATGACCGACCAATAAAAGCGATTTTAAATATATTTTATATTTGATTTACAAATCTATTATCTAAATAAATCTGTCTAAGGAACTTCTCTAATCTCATAACAGGCGAGAATAAGTTTCCTAGTTTACAGTTTCCAGCCAAGGCAATGGTTTCAAACTTAGAACAGACCCAAACGGTCTGTTCTAAGTTTGAAACTATTGCCTTGGCTGGAAACTGTAAACTAGGAAACTTATTCTCGTCGACCATCCAACTAACTGTCTCGTGCAAATCCATCGATCTACAATTGTTCTTAAAATGGCGTGAAAACAAAATTCCTCTTCTATAGATAATTTAACTCTTCTTGTTTTAATTCCTAAAAACTGTACGATCAAAGGGAAAGAAATTATTGTTGTTTATTCATTCTGGAAGCTTATAAATTAATTAAGTTATTGTTTTATTTTAAAAATATCGAATATACGACGTAGACGTATTAATTTTTATTAGTTTTATAAGAGTCTACGGTTAATTTCCCGAGGGAATCGAGCTATTTCCAAAAACATCTCGAATCTCGGGTTTAGAAAATTATGAAAATATGCGCGCGAATCCAAAAAATCCCGAATAAAAGGTTAAAACAGTCCAAAAAGTCTCGTCTTTTAACACAAAAGGTAGCGGCAACGTCGAGTCTTTAAGATTTCCCGAAGACATCTCGTGGCAACCAACAATATAAATCGGCGAACTTTATCAAAGAACCGGAGATTATTATAAAGATAAGAAATTTTAAAGTTTAGCGGATAATTGCCATCGTAATTAACTTTCTGCCATATTTATCCGACAACTACGTCATAATAACATACAATTCCGGCACGAAGGGGGGAGAAGGGGAAGAGCGCGTCCGTGGGGTGCCGCGGGTTTTCCTTCTCGACAAATATTTTAGTAGTTAGTAAAAGAATGAAGATTACATCCTCGACGGGAATAATTTATCAATTCGGCAGCATAAAAATTTTATAACGAGAAATATTTCTCTTATCACTTTATAAAATGGAAAAAAAATGTAGCGATTGTATGGTGGAAATGGAAAATCGATGGGGGGACGTGGAATAAACGTAAAAAAACCAGTGAAATGATGGGAGAAACGACGTTAGTTACTTTTTTACAAGTATTACTCCACCCCTCGATACGGAGATAAAAGTAAAAATAAAAATTTTTGACTCCCGTTGCACGTAATGAGAGCGCGCCAAAGTGAAATATAAATATTATTTTGGAAGTTAAACGAAGGGTTGCTGCGTTATAACGAAAGGTTGAAGACCTATCTACAAATATCTGTAACATTTCGAAGGCGCCATTAATAAGTAGCGAGAGATTAAATTCACTTTAGCAAACACTTTACAAATGTGTTGACTCGATTGCAACCGGGATTGGAATTTATACAAGTTTCCAGCAAGTTTATTAAAACTTGAATAAAATAAAAATAAAAAAAATGAATTACCAAAGAGTTTCCAGTCTTTTGCTTCTTCTTCCGCGTGAAACTTTTATTTTAAGCTTCCTGAAATTTCTATTTCGGTGAAGTAAAAAACAAAAAGGGATGTTCGTAATGGTTTCGCTCTAGAAGTGACTCTTAAGAATCTCGAGTAAACTTAAATTATATCGAATTCTTCCGCAATAATAATATATTTAACGATAATTTCTGTTAAAATTGCTTTAAGAAATGGAGAAAAAATAAGAAAATAAAAAAGTGAAGACGAAATTACTTAAAAGGAAGAACGAGGAGGGAGGAAAAAAGGGTGCAGACCAAGATGAATTGCGACAAATATAGGCTCCTGCGTCCATTGAAAATTTTTATTAGGAGCAGAAAAAATTCCATTCAATTTTTTATTGTAAAGTAATTTTTGTAATAAATTTTAAAAAATTCTCAATAACCATTCTAATTTCTTTTTTATTTATTTAAATACGCCAAGTGGTAATGTAATTGAAATTACACTTTGAAAATTCACCCGGAAAGAAAAATAAACGAACACACCACCAACGTGGTTACAATAAATTGACCTTGAGGGACGAAACCAGGTATAAAATTTAAGTAAAAATGTTTTTATAATAAATTTAGGCGGCTCTCTGCCAAATCTCCGATACAAAACTCCTAAAACATTTTAATGCGGAGACGTTTTATAATAATAGCTCGAGCGCGTACGGTAGAACCCGCGTAAGCCGGAATGGCGCGACAACGAATATTTTTTCCGTTTTGGACAGGTTTTTACCGTATTATTTGGCGCGTAATTTAAGTTTAGAAGCTTTTATTGGTCACGTTTTTTATACTGGAGTGGAGGCCGCTGGGGTCGAGCCCCCAACCTATACGTGGCTAAAATGCTACACCACCCGCACGTTTGGTTGTCTGTCGGATGTGGAGTGGGCCGCACCTTAAAACATCATTCGGATAACGTCATCGGATTCGAAGTCGATGAAATTCCGGGGCACGATACCGAGAAAAGTAAATAGAAGCGTTAAATAATACTCTAAATGTATAAATTTGATGCGAAATTAAAACACCTTTATCGAACGTGTACACATAAAGACGATTTTATGACAGTTTGGCGTTATATGAAACCGCGGCACCTGGGATTTATAACGTTTAAGGAAGCGACGACAAGCGAAGCGCATCTTTAATTTCCGGGAAATCTTTTATCGAATACATTGTAAATGTCTGTAAATTCGACTCGAATTACTTCTGTACCATGGAGTCGGGATATCTGTTTTATTTAACATTGGAGTCTTTCCGCTTTATTTAATTAAGTAAACCCTTCGATGTAAATTATAATGAACTTCTTTTGTTAATTCTATTGTTTCTTTACAGTGTCGCTGTCATTGGATCCTCGACCGATCGTTATTCCGATTCTGTCTTGCATCATCAGTTTTCCTATAATCACGTTTGCCATTATTTGCGCTCTCAGGTACCGAGCGCAACGTTTACGCAAACGCGATCGTCTCCGTCGCTTGCAAGCGGGGTAAGTTCCTTATTTTAGGGGGCTGCCATTTGCCCGTCTCGATATTTATCTACACGAAAACCGAGAACGGACGCGAAAAGCTTAGGGGTGGAGACCCCGATTAACTATATACAAAATTCCGGTTTGGACGGGAAATCACGCGATTTCTTTAAATTAAAAGATAATTAAAAATTGTAGCCTGTTATTGCGAAGACGTCACCTTAATTACAGCAATAACAGTTAACCCGCGATCAAATAGAAATGCGCGTGTTTTCGTTTTGAGATTTGTGGAAATCTGGAGTAGAAAAATCGAAGGCAAAACTGTTGAAAACGTTAAAACGTGTTGAGAATGATTGAAGTCAAATCCGAAAATACTGTTTTGAAGAAATATGGATTTTAGTATTCCTGCCGCCTTCTTCGGTTTCTTCAAATATTCAATTTCGAATGGGTATTGCTGTTAAATGTGAAGTAGACTTACTAAAATACATTTCCATCGCTTTCTTTAAAGTTTAAAACAAAAAAAGGGTAATAAAAATATGAACTAGCTCTTAAATATTTAAAGAACTTGGCTAGAATATTGTCGAAAGAGGTATTCTACCTCGAAAACAATTCGAAGAAAATCTCGACACGCGCCGAGTCTTAATAAAGTAAATCTCACAAGTTTTATATTAATAAATAATTAATACTGCGTGAGCGGAAAGTCCCTCGCACCTTCTCCATTCCAAAAGTACTCGTTGACCTTTAAAGGGTTGGCTTTTAAAATGAAAAAGGTGCGAGGGACTTTTCACTCGCCTCTATAACTTTAATGCCGTGAAAAATATTTAGAAAATAAATTAAAATATTCGAATTTGAATTTATGCGCAGAATTGTTATTCGTTTCCTATAAATATAATAACTGTAATGGAAATATGGCGCGCTTTATGCGAATTTTATGAAGAATATTAATTTATTTAGAGCTATATCAATTAAGTGTCCGAGCCATTAATATGAAAACAGCCAATGTTTACACGAATATTTAATTATAAACAGCAAATTTATAGAATTAATTATAATCGAAAACCATCCAATTCTGATATATTTATAGTTAATTCAATTAAATTAATTTCTAGAGAAAAATTTTCCAGACTTTTAAGACGACAAATCGTTATATTGCTATTTTTAGATATCGTTCCGTTACCTTGGACATTCCGAATCGTGAAAAGCCGTCTCTGTTTTCGAGAGATTCTTCCTCGGATCTAAAGGTTCTAGGAGAAAAATCGGACACGTGTGGGTCACCGGCGTCACCTTTGACCTCTAGGAGAACGTCCAGGAACAATAGCCAAGTGACTTTTGTGACCGCAGCCGTTATGCACGTACCGGAACTATTGAATCAAAACGGGAGGTTGAAGCGTGGTTCCAAAACTGTGGTCTCGTTTTGGGAAGAACCGGTACAAGGGGAGGACGTACACGAACTGTCCGAAGGAACGAAGCAAAATATATCTATTTCCAGGTAGCATTTATTCTGCGTCGTGCCACCAAGTGCCTCTAAATTCCGAAATCCCTCGTTTAAGAAGGACAATCAATCGGTGGCAATAGAAACAAAATTATTTTCTATAATAAAACCCGTCTGATCTGAATTTAAAAAGTCGAATTTTTTTTTTAATTTAGATCACCGAAAATAATATAAATATATCTTTAAAAACAATAATTACTACTCGAAACGTCTTCGAAAAATCAAAAATTGTGTTTAAAATTACGCTTTAAAGTGAGAAAAACTGTACATTTATAGTATTTAGAAGTTAAATCTTGTAGTATTTTTAAAATATAATTATATTTAGAATTAAAATGAAGAAACATTCTGGGACCATCTCGTTAATGTTTTGCCACTCGAAAAGACATTTATAAAGTTACTAAAAAAGTTGGTTTTTGTCCACGTATTTTTACAAAACGACAAAATTTCTGTTCGGAACGTCCCTACTTAAACTGAAAAATTCAAACAAATGAAACTGGTGGATTATTTCAATACAAATTTTTAAAAAATGTCTGGGAAAAGTTACGAATTACTCGAGTTTGTAGGTTTAAACACGAGCAAAAAATAAAAAAAGTCTTCCCCAGCGGTGTACTCGCCCATAAAAAATACTTGTAGAAATAATACAAAACCCACTGATTGAGGTAATTAACAGAACAATTATCGGGTTGTAAATAGCGGTATCGTCAATTGTTGGAAACAAATTTTCGACAGCATTTTATACGACTAGACGTGTTACGTCCATTCAGTTATCACTCACGCCTTTTCACTTTCTTAATTTAAAGCACTTTCTTTCATTTCTATTGTTCGTGTATTGTGATTTATGATCTTTCGCTGATGTATATTCGGTCTAAAGATTTATTCAAATACAATAAATGTTTTATTGCAAAGTTTAGTCTCTTGTTTTGTAAAACAATTTTCTTTTTTTTTCTTCTTTTTGTATCGATTTTATCCTGCAAACAATAAACTGTTTTACCGTCCGTTTCAAGTTTTTTTTTTATTGTCGGTCTTAAATCGTCAACAATGAATTTATTTTTTTCACTGCTCAATTTCTAAGTGGAAAATTACGAAATTATTACAGTAAAATCTCTCCAAAACGGAACCCGAATAAAAAGGAAACCTTCCTAAACGGAAAAAGTTCTTCGGAACGGAGCGATTTTCTGTGTTAAATAAAGAACCTATTTAAAACGGAAACTGCCAAAACGGAAAAAATATTGGGTATCGCGCGATTCCAGTTTACACAAGTTTTACTGTATTTAAATTTACGCAGTAAAATCTGCGTAAAGTGGATAGGCGCGGTGCCGAATGATTTTGTCCTTTTTAGACGGGTTCTACAATATTAATTTCAATGAGAGTATTTCTTTTCTTAAATTCGGTAAATAAATATGCTATTTTACTACTTTAAATTGGAAAATAAACTTCAAAACTTATTATCATAATATAAATAATTAGACGTTTACTTAATTAATTAAAGTAAATACTGTAATATAAGTGAATTATTTGATATATTTACCGAGAAGTCCGTGTTTATTTAAGGTAATTTTTTTTAAATATCCGTAATTAAATGATGAAATTTTAAAAATTTATGATTCAGATTTCGAGATTTATTTTATTAATTTTTTTGTTTGCGTAAGTAAATCTAAGGGAATTATTCTAACGGTTGTTTGTGACAATGACAGAACGTCCCACGTGATTCGCTTTCTGGAAATGGCTTTATCATAATAATCTGGAAGGAAATTAAATTGGGAATTTATCTCGATTTAATGAAATCCTGCCGCTTAATTTTAGAAATTTTACCTATTTTCGGAGGATTAAAAGAGTCGCGAATTTCCCTCCCCGTAAACGTTTCTGTTTAAAGATTAGCGGAAAGCGAGAACTCTCGAAGGCTATAAAAAAGAATTTGCATTGGAATGGAAGAAGTCACCTATATAATGATTTACGTTGGGATTGCATTCGGACGTAAAAAGATAACCTTGCAATGCTCCTTTGTTGGCTGCAGCGAATAGGAGATTGAATTATCCAAAGTAGATCTTTGAAGATGGAAATGCTTGGCGGCCAATGTCACATTGACACGCTCGCTGACGTAAGTCACGGCGTAACGTCATTGTCACGTGATGTTTATGTGCCCTACGTTGACTCTAACACTCGGGCAGAAAGCGTCTCTCGTTCTTTTTGCACGCCCGAACCGAAACAAATAAAATTCTATTCTTTTTTTATGTATTGCAAATTTGATTTTCTGCCTCCAAATGAATAAGGAATGTAAATGTACGAAGGGAATGAATTGGACATTGTTTGAATAAGGAACACAATTTCCAAACATTTCGATTTTATCTGCTTTTTTTATGCCGTTTGATCGAGTTTTTTCGCTTTGCTTCCTATTGTATAATATGCATCAATCGTTTTCTAAGCTGACATTTTTCTTTATATATATATATATATATATTACATATTATAAATAAATGGCATTAAAGATTTTTTTCCGTTAAATTTCCCACATAATATTTAAAAATTACATCGAAATCTTAGTTATTTTAATTAATAAAATGAACATATCCAGCAACGAGTTGCGTAGCTTTCCCAGCGAGAGTTAAAGTTGTGTGTGCCGCCATCTCTCGAGATTTTAATAAACAAATTTCTTTTATATTATTAATTATTATAAAATGGTAAAAAGCTTACTTTGGGGGTAGAGGTGTTTTAAAAAAAATTTATAACGATAACGCTAATAACGAGTAAACTTTTCATTAAGTTTCACCTCTCGCGTGATACGACACGACACACGATTCTCTCTATCTCCCCACCTGCGCGACCTTTAACTACCAAAATAAAACAGCATCCATCTCCCTAATACATTTAAAAATTACATCGAAATCTTAGTTATTTTAATTAATAAAATGAACATATCCAGCAACGAGTTGCGTAGCTTTCCCAGCGAGAGTTAAAGTTGTGTGTGCCGCCATCTCTCGAGATTTTAATAAACAAATTTCTTTTATATTATTAATTATTATAAAATGGTAAAAAGCTTACTTTGGGGGTAGAGGTGTTTTAAAAAAAATTTATAACGATAACGCTAATAACGAGTAAACTTTTCATTAAGTTTCACCTCTCGCGTGATACGACACGACACACGATTCTCTCTATCTCCCCACCTGCGCGACCTTTAACTACCAAAATAAAACAGCATCCATCTCCCTAATACCCAAATCTCCCTGCAAAATTTCAGAAAATTTCGACAAAAGTCACGAGAGTTACTAAGCTTCANTAAAAAGCTTACTTTGGGGGTAGAGGTGTTTTAAAAAAAATTTATAACGATAACGCTAATAACGAGTAAACTTTTCATTAAGTTTCACCTCTCGCGTGATACGACACGACACACGATTCTCTCTATCTCCCCACCTGCGCGACCTTTAACTACCAAAATAAAACAGCATCCATCTCCCTAATACCCAAATCTCCCTGCAAAATTTCAGAAAATTTCGACAAAAGTCACGAGAGTTACTAAGCTTCAAATTGGGTGAACGAAAATCGTGCGCTCCCAACACACCTATACATACAGAAAACAACTCCGAATGTTTTAAAAGTTCTCGACGTTTCAATTCAAAAAATGCGAAATTCCCGAGGGGGAGTCATTTTTGGGACCCATTTTGGCAAAGGGTAAAATAGGAAATTTCTTCGGATTAACGGAAGCTAAATTAAAATAATCCTTTATTAGATGTATCCATAATTAATAAAATTGCTTCCGATAATTTTTTTACGTTGTAGAAATCCCATTAAAGGAACACAAATGGCATCAAAATGCTCTCACGAAAGTTATTAAGAGAAAAGGTTTGGCTCTTAATACATTAAATAAATCAATCGATAAATAATAAAGCTGCAACGATAGGCAATATTCCACGTTATATAGATTATTACAGTAGACTCTCGCCAATCCGGCCGATCCTGGCGCGGAAGGATGCCGGATTACCGGGTATATACGACTAAAAGCAACGAACGATACGGTCTGTAGCCCTTCCGTACAGATTCTTTTTGTTGTGTTTTGAGCCGTATTTTGTTGCGAAATTACACACAGGGAATACAGTAATTGGGCTGAAATTTGAAAAAAATGCGGACAAATTCCCACTTTTGTCCGTCCGTCCGTCTTTCTTTAATCTCGAGAACGGTATTAGGGGAAAGTCGAGACCAGATGTGGAAAGCTCGGGAGCGGGAGGACTCGATTAATTATATATGACCTTCCGAACTACACCGGAAGTCGAGTAATTTCGATTCAAATATTTTCCCCAGAACGGAGTTACGCGGATGACCGGCACCGCCTTATTGTTATGGGGAAAAGTGGGAAGTACGGGGGCAAGACGCTACAAATTTCAGATATTTTAAATGAAATAAGTTAAAAATATGATTAAAAAATTTCGGGCCGCATTAAAATTTATGTTACAAGTTTACTACGCATATTTAAAAACTAATAACATAAAAGAATGCCGCGTAATTGTGAGGCCGGATTAGCGAGAGTCCGCTGTATTTCCTTAGCGGAATAAAATTTTGATAACGTCGAAGTAAAGTACGGAATTCGATTTATATTTCGGCAGAAATTGTATATATATTTTTCCCCTTTTATCCGATTAAAAATTTATTTTTCCGCTTAAAAATGTATTAATTATTTATTCGTTTAAATTAAGGTATAAAAGTAATTTATAAAAAATTGAATAAAAAAAAAATTTAATTCGATATTAACGGGTTAAATTTAAATTTAATATAAAAGATATCGTTACCGTAAATAAATAATTGTGAGAGGTAATTAAAGTTTTTAAACTTTATAATTTACTTCTTTATTATATTCTTTATATAAGCGCATACGGTAATCTGTAAGGATAATTATTAAATAAAAATAATTTCAAATAAGAAATTACAGCTTAAATTTTTATAGAATTAAATATTATTATTAGTAATAATTAATTAAATGTCATTACTAAAATAATTAATTAGATATCGAAACGATTAACAGCGTTGGGGAGCGGATAGAAAGAAAATTGTCGGATAAACACGGCTTAAGTAAGGATTACGAATTTATTTATTAAGTATAATAATTTAACCGTAAAAAATTTAATAGATTGCAGTTATTTACTTAAATAATTAAATTTTTTATATAATTAATTGATAAATAAACATTACCAATATTGTACATCTGACTATTAATGTAAATAATATTATTGTAACTATCAAATTGTTTAATACTAATATCCTATATATTTTGTAAATATTGTAAAAATTTTATAATATCTCTTTGTAACCCCCTGCGACAGGGACACTTCCCTTTACGCTAATAAAGATTATTATTATTATAATTAATTGATAAAAATCGGGATATTAGAGACGGGGCAGCCAATATCGAGCTGTTTAGAAAGGAGATATCCTGTCGAGTGTTTTGATATATCTTCTATCATTTGTGAAACAATAGCTTTTCTTTCAAATTGCCATTTCCCGAGAAATAACCATAAATATTCCATCGCTTCG